GTGAGGCGATTCAAAAAGTTGATTAATTTATGTATCTCCGCTCTGCTATCTTCATGGATGGCCCCATCCGGTCAAAGTTATGTGAAGGCATCTCCCTGGCCTCCTTTGTTTTTTCTAACCTGTCCACTGTTTGGGTTGAGACCGGAGTCAGCTCTTTCCACAAGAATCACCCTTTTCCTTACCTCGGTCAGGTCAGTGTTGCTGTACAGCGTGAAAATAGTTGTTTTAACGAGCTGTGTACAGCAGCATTTGTTTTGACGTGGCAGCGCGACATGAGGACTCTGTTTCTTCTCGGTCACAAGCGACCTCGGTAGATGGAGTGATTAAGAAAAAGTGGTTTACCTTGTTAGACATGGTTTAATAGATTGGTTCAGCATAAGTTATTTGCTCTATCCCGTGAGTTTCTAGTGTGCGAATTGAAACTCGGACAAACAGGGCAGAGGGAGGTATGCTTTTGAGGAATGGTTCCTTCTGTGATACAGCAGTCGGTGCCTTATGATAGAAGTGTTGAAAAGCTGGAACACTGCAAACACCACGAATCGTAGACGTCCTGCTTACGTAAACGGTTCAGCTAATGATTTAAACAACATTTCCAAAGACTTCTCCCCTTTATTCGGTTGTAAATCAGTCTAACGATCATGTTAGTCTTCGTGGAAATTGTGATTGACAGTTTGCGGAGATTTGGGTTGTAATCTGTAGTCTGTTCTTTCCCTTTTTCTCTGATATTTAGCCCCATGAAAATATGTTCCGCGAAACAGTGACCAACTTCACTGTTATAAGGCGTTCTTATGGCACGATTCCACGCATAATAAGCACATTCTCTGATTTCGAGACAGTAACGAGTATGGGGTTTTGACTGACCATCATCAGTTTTTCGTACTCATTCATGAAGTTCCCGTGACATGATGTGAATTTTGTAATGGCTGCACCCTAAATGTACAGCATGATTTTACAAAGGATCTCTTGCCAAAGCTGGCCTTTCGCTTCCTTTTTCCACAAAGACTTCGTTGCATTCGTGTGAAAAGCATCCTTGTTGAGCAAGATAAAATGATCTTATTAATTTGAGTTATAAATTGCTTATGGTTTTTGTTTAGATATTGTAGCAGCCCGCCGAGCAAGTCATCCTAGGAGAGGGTTCATCCCACCAGCTCCTTGAAGATTGGTCCTCATGTGAGGATGAGAAACCTTGCTGCCTGGATTGTACCAGTTTATTCTTTATCACCAGTTACACAGAGGGACACAAATTATCACTGCCTAAGTCTGCACGACTCAAGTCCGTCCTTAAGATCTCACGATTCAAAGTTGTCACAGTCAAAGTCTTCATACCACATAAGAACTGACGCAAAAAGTCATATCACAGCAAAAACCCACGCGTCAAGGCGTATCACGGACTCCCTTTTTAACGAGGAACCGGCTCTTTTATGCATATTTTTCAAGCGCTTGAGCCAGTCCGCGTTCAACAGCAGCGCATTTCCCAAGAGTCTGTTTCTTAGCTAGAACTGTCATGGCCGATTCATGGGACGTATATTTTCGCAAGACCTGGTCGGTATCTTTTTGTAGTTTTTTATCGAAGTAAATCATTGCTGCTTACCAGCAGATTAAATTAAGTCAAACCTTTAAACCGTTGCGATGGTAAAAAGATTTTGGCAAATGTGTGCATTTTGCATTTGTTCTATTGTAAAGGGACTAGGGTGGGTTAAGCGATGCTGAACTCGCTCAGCGAGTGAAATGTCAGTTTATTTTTGTCGTTGATTCGTTTCAGGTTTTAGATGAGAATGATTACTGATTCGGTCGAGGCTGTATTGGAGGAGTGCAAAGAAAACGCAACGCGACTCGTTTCTGCGGTGAACAACGGTGAACCTATGTTGGAAAATGTTTTTTTTTCATCCATCGTTGTTCCCGTTCAAAACGCTTTACTTCAGATGCAGCAAGGATTAAGGTAATTACTCCTGATTAATCACTTGGCATTGTCTTGCATATAACTAGATGCTGTTCTGTCCCAGCCATCTTTAGCCGGTACGTTTGGTAGGAATATAGGATGCTGTTAAGCTTCGCTCTGTTTCAAATTCGTCTGTCAGTACTTTCGTAAAATCATGGCTGGGGAAGTTCTTAAAGATCGTTATGGAAAATTTTCAGCAAGGAACATTGACCGCAAAATTTGCTCGCTCGCTCGCTTGCTCTTATTCGTCATTTGCTGTTACAACAGCAAAAGTTTCATTTTTGTCACTCTCTGACTGTTTAAAAAATATTTATTTATGCTGAAAGTAGGTTTTTGCTTTTTCTAG